GTGGCAATTGCCGACGTCTTGAAGGAAGTGTTGTTCTTGAAGCAGGTGTGGCGTTTCATGTTGCCAGATGCGAGTATGCCGTGCATCTCGGTGTTCGAGGATAATCAGGGAGCGATTCAGATTGCGCACAACCCGATCACGAACTCCAACTCGAAGCACATCGATGTACGGCATCACTTTATCAGGGAGCTGGTAGAGAGGAAAGATATTTCAATTACTCATGTGCCGACGCATTTTCAGCATGCAGATTTCTTGACGAAGGCTATTAGCAAGGAGTCTTTTGCGTTGCACCGTGACTTTGTGATGAACTTGCAGTGAAGGAAGTGTTTTGGGGTCGATTCGTATTCTGTAGCGGAGAGAGGAAGAGAGAGACGAGATTGGACAAGAAAATGAGAGAGTCTGATGAAGGTGGTAAGCGTGTTGGAGTTGTGCTAAGATTTTTCTTGTTTGTTTTGGAGGAGTTGTATTTGTGTTGGATTTTTCTTGCTTGTTTTGGAGGAGTTTTGGTTGTGTTGGAAATTTTCTTGTGATTGACTTGGGAGGGTTCTTGCATGTTTTGGGGAGGATATTGGATTTGGATGCTTTGAGAATTTTTTTGTTTGTTTTGAGAGAGATGGTAAATGAGGAATTTGGTTTTTGCCGAAGCATGACGATCCATACGAGAAGGGGGGCTACTAGATATATTGGGGGTACCCGTAGCATAGTATGACGGGTAAGATCTTCAGTACGTACGTACGTACGGAAATTGCAGTGATGAGATGCGGAGGAATCAGAGAGATCCGTTCGGTAGTTTGAGCGTGATGAGCGTGACGCGTGCTTGATGCCGTGACAGATTTACGAGCACGAGCACCCCCCCGAAGAATACAATACGTTTTCCTATACGTCCCTCCCCTACCACGGCCCGTCATGGCCCAGCTGCTCTACACTCCCAACACACAGAACTGAGCCACCCGAATCATCGATTAGAAAGGACTCTGGGCTCTGATCCTTGCGCCTGTTGCTGTGGTATGAGAATAAATGTTCACACCTCATATCACCTCTCTGCCTCGAGGGTGCTTGAAACAGAAGGAGCAGGCTTACAGCAGTCTGTATGTGTGTACCTTCTCCACGAAAGATCGCAGGTTCAGCCACCCGTGGAGATACAGTTGGCGCCCGCAGTTAAGAAATAGATATGTTAGAAATTGAGGCTCACTTTTTCACGAAAAATAAGAAACTAGGGTTAAGAAACATAGCTCAACCTGGGTCACACAATAAGAAATGTCTCAATAAGCAACACAGCGGTGACCGCTACCTTACTACATAAGACACGAGGGTTTACAGGGTAGTGTGTCGAATAAGAAACAAACCCCACAGCTCTCTCGCTCTTTCCCCCTCTCCCCCGACCCCCCCCTCCCATACAGTAGTTGTTGTTGTTGTTGTTGTTGTTGTTGTTGACTTCACATTAAACCGTATGCCAGTTGCTAAATGCCAAAATCTAGCAAAGACTCTCAGCCCGTGGTCACGAAAGTGCTGGAGCCATCTGAGGATCTAAAGAACACGCACACTTGAGAAAAAGGTGTACAAGAGCCCGAAGAGGTACTACTACACCTATATATAATCCCTGCAGCACCGTGTGCGTGCCCAAAACTGAACTACACGTCCGTCTCACCGTTCGACTACAGCAACATCACCCCCTACTTGTCCCACTCTGTACCAAAACGAATGATTGCCGACTACAGCATACTTGCTGTCTGAAGTGCTGTCTGTACAAAAACACCATGGTAGGCATGGAACAAGAAGCTGGCGGGGCACAAAGCTGCTGTCTGAAGTGCTGTCAGAATGT